GGAGGAGGGAGGGTTTGCTCACAGATGGAGGGTACAGTCCATGCAGTGGGGAGGAGGGAGGGTTTGCTCACAGATGGAGGGTACAGTCCATGCAGTGGGGAAGGCATGGGGACAGGAACGGGAGGCTGCTGGTCACACTGCAGACACCGTCAGGAAAGAGAGCAATGACTGCCAGTGTTCAGCAAGTCCTCTCTTTTTATGAAGTGCAAGGCCAAAGCCCACAGACTGCCACCTCCCTCATAACTTTTTGTGAAACTCCAGAGGCTTGCCTTTGCAGTGGTTCTAGATCCTGTGAAGTTGACAATCATTATTAATGAGTACGTCATGTCTCATACATATATATTACTCTCAAATGTATACAATTCTAACTTTATTTAGAAGTATTATTAAATGTATACCAGCTTCTTATTTCATTTTAGCCAATTAGTTTTGGTTTTAAGATAGGGTTGTTGATGCTAGACTCATAATTATGATTCCCCTGCCTTAGTCTTTCATTACCACCACCACTACCCCCTTTTTTTAAACAAAGGATACCTGTGAAACTATAGAAGATTGCCAAAAACTCTTCTGTAACTAGAGAATGCCCTTACTTCTTACTAAGGATGCAGACTGAACACATAAGCTCTACTTCTTCCTTAAATCTGTGAATATAATAAAGGCCTTCTAAAACAGACACAAACCCACTAGGACAAAGAGAATGGGAAAATAGTAATAAAATTCTAATGCTTGAAAGAAAGTGGTAATTAACCTGATTTTTACCATGGGCACTTCTGGGAAGGAGATGTAGGTGACTAGGGCCTCTGCATGTGGACAAAAAGGGAGAGCCAAAAGATGCAAAACAATTTAATGTCTGCTTTAAGCAGACTCCAGCTAAGTTTGGTGGCTCAGGCCTATAATCCCAACTACTGGGAAGGCTGAGTAAACAGGGTCATTTGTTCAAGGTTTGCCTAAGCTACACACTGAGTCCAAGGCCAGCTTGTACAATTTAGTGAGATTCTGTTTCTTGGTTTTCGTTTTTTTGAGACAGGGTTTCTCTGTTTAGCCCTGGCTGTCCTGGAACTCCCTGTAGACCAGGCTGGGCTCAAACTCAGAGCACTACCTGCCTCTGCCTCCTAACTGCAAGGATTAAAGGCGTACACACTCAGCTAGATTCTGTCTTAAACCAAAACTAAAACTAAAGGGGAACTGAGGCTATTGATTAATGGTAGAATACATACTATAGACCATGAATCCATTCCCCAGTACTGCCAGAAATTAAAGAAGAAACTGATCCCAGGCTACCTTCTTTATTTTGAAAAGTGAAATGGCTTCTTGTTGCTAGAGAATTTCTCTCCAGCTCCCACCGCCAAGTCCCGCCAGTCCCAGAGCCCACTTATAAAATAAACACACAGACTCTTACATTATTTAAACTGCTTGGCCATTAGCTCAGGCCTACCATTGTCTAGCTCTTACTCTTTTATTTAGCCCATTTCTATTAATCTTTACTTTGCCAAGTGGCTCGTGACTTACAGTACTTTATATCTTCCTTGTACTTTACATCTTCCTTGTCCTGGCGGCGGATCCAGGTAGTCTCTCCTTTCCTTCCTCCTTTCTCAATTCTCCTCTCTGTTAGTCCCAACTATACTTTCTATCTAGCTATTGGCCAATCAGTGTTTATTTACATATAGCAATATCCATAGCACTTCCCCTTTTCTTCTAAAACTGCCAGACATTCTACAGGACACTGAAAAAAATGACCAAGAGACTCTAACCCTGTGGGCTAAAGAAAGATGCCCCAACTTTATAAAGAAACATTAGGTGACTGTCCAGGCTGTCAGCTGTCTCTGTCTACCCTGCAAGACTCTCGAAAGTTGCTTGCATCCATCTACCATTTCTCAGGTACCATTATATTCCTTCTCAGGCCTTTGATGGGATTGAAGACTAGCAGTTATAGTTACAACTTAGTATATACATACATATATATATTCATTCATATATATATAATATCTTAGATAGAACATATTAAGTATTAGATTCAGGTTCTTTAGGATAGGACACCTTTTGGAATGATCTTTGTAACATGCCATTTACCTAT